TCACGCCCCAGGAGATGGCTCGGATTGCCAAGTCCCGAGCGAAAGCGCAGCAAGCGCGTGTGAAAAGGGAGGAGACGAGGGCGCTCACGGGGGTGCGAGCGGACTATCCCACCCTCTCCCGCAGCTACAGCGAGGAGATTGCCTTCAACATGATTTGGTGCCTTCGAAGCAAGATGATGAGCTAGCTGCGCGTGAAGGACGCGGCGGAGAGGACTATGCCAGGGTCGAGGTGGAAAAGGAATCATCGATGGCTAGCCATATTGATGGGGAAAGAAGTGGCATTTTGGTGGGGGCACTTCGGGAGCCTCCGTCAACGGATGCAGGCGCCGGTAGCGCTTCCTCTGATGTGAAGACTGCCACGGAGCTCGAGAGCACGGAGAAGGCCAACGGTGGGCAAGGGGGTTTATAAGCTTCCACTATATCGACCTCGATGAGGACGTGTCGGACGAGGGCGATGGTGGCAGCCGGCGGCCGGGCACGACGGAGGACTATAACCTTGCCGAGGAGGACACCGAGTATGAGGCCTACTTCATCGAGGAGATCTTCGTGGACGAGGACGAGCTGACAGGGATGTATGAGGAGCAGCGGGCGGCCTTCTACCAGCAGAGGAGGGCCGCTGGGAAGTGGGTAGACACTCGCCCTGCGAGGGGCCTCACCCAACAGCTCAAGAGTGGCGTCCAGAAGGGGAAGAGGATGATGGAGACGCTGAAGCAGGGCGCCAAGGTGAAGGACAAGTTCATGGTCCTGGAGATCTTTTCCGGGAGCTCTATGTTGACCCAGACCGCCATGGAGATGACTGGTTGGGGCGCGTATCAACCCATTGACGTTCTCCTGGGAGAGGACGGAGATATGACGAAGAAGGCCAATAGAGAAAGGGTCAAGGACACCGTCAGCACTGGGCCTTGGTGTGCATGGACTATGCAGGGATCTGGACAGCTTGGACGAGATCCGGAAGCGCCATCTGCCATTTTGGAGATTGGCGCGAGAAATATGGGACATCCAGCAACAAGAAGGCCGCTTGTGTCTGACGGAACAGGCGCTTGGTTCGGAGGCCTTGGAGACCAAGCAAGTACATGATGGAGAGACATCCCATGTATCGAGTCGAAGTCGAAGTGGATCAGTGCATGTTCGGCCTCCAGGACCCGGTCTCCCTGCTGCTCTATCGCAAGGCCACCGCCCTGGACGTGACGGAGCAGAGCTTTGCGGTGGGCTTGGCGGGAGTGCTACGGTGCAACCATTCTCCATCCCAACATGAACAGATACGGGGATCAGTCATTGTGGACGGGGTGCGACATCACCGTTCCGAGTTGGCAGCTCGCTGGACCAAGGACTTTGCCAAGTACATCCTGCAAGCCGCACAGTTGGCCTTAGCTGGTCGCCCGATGGGTTGGGAGCCACCTTTCATCAAGGAGCCTTCTTCGCCGGAAGCGCAGAGGGCCATGATGCAATGCCGGTGGAGGTGGAAGAGGGGGTGCTCACGGCCGAGGAGGTTCTCAAGAGGCAGCTGAAGAAGATGGGGGCCGAGGGAGAAAGATATGACTACGTCCAGTTTGAGGGAGAGGCCCGCATGCTGCCTCGGAGGACAAGGGCGACACTAGCCCATTGCATGTGGCCCTGGGACATCTGTCAAATGACCGTTTGCATCGAATGGCCACCAACTTCAACGCCAGGGTGAGCGGGGACGTGTTCTTCATCTGGGACATCAAGAATGTGAAGTACGCGGTGGTGCACTACATCGACGAGCTCACCGATTACCGCGTTGGCGCTCTGGAGTTTGATCCCACGTCAGATTGGGCGGCAGAGACCTTGTGTCGACTGTGGTATGATGTGTGTGGCCACCTGACGTGCTGCTCACAGATGGTGGCAGTGAGTTCTATGGCTCGGTGGCCCGATTGAATGATCTCTTTGCCGTACAGCACGACATCGTGCCTGATCAGGCGAAATGGCGTGATCCAGGAACTGCAGATTTCTTGCCTGGCCGACATGCAGTGCGCATTCTGTATGGCATCCAAGAACCGCATAGCCACCAAGGGAGGGGTCTCTCCACTGCAAGTGGTGACAGGAAGGAACACCTCCTTGCCAGGATCGTTGTTGGCCCAGGTGACGAGTGGGAAGGTCAAGTTCAAGACCAATGAGATGATCACCCAAGATGACGCCCTACGCCGGAGCGAGCGGATCAGAGCGGCCTCGCAAGAAGCATGTCACTGGTTGGATGCCCATGAAGGTCTTCGGCGAGCACTCGCGGCAAGATCCAAACCGCCTACGATGGAGCTTCTTTGAGAGGGAGCCAGTGTATACGTGTACGATCCACCGGCCAATAGGAGGGGACTGGCATGGCGTCTGCAGGACAACATCTCGTGGAGTGGGCCAGCTGTAGTCGTCTGCGTGGAGCGAGATGGAACGGTCCCTAAGAAGGTCTGAGTGAGGCTTCGCTCAAGGGTCAAGGCCTACCCGCTGGAGAAGATCCGCCTGGCGACGGCAGATGAGCTACTAAGTGCGGACTACATCCTCGCGGCCTTGAAGGACATGGAAGGGGAACTACAAGGTGGACGCCTACAAGTACAAGACTATAAGCCGGAGAAGGAGACCGAGCAGGAGGCAGATGAAGAGAAGGAGTCGGATCACATCTCGGCGGGCCGAGGAGAAGGTGGAGCCACACACTCTGCCTTTCCAGAAGAAGCGACGGCTGTTTGAGAAGCTCGCCAAGGACTTTGGAGCGCCGACCGCCATGCAGGAGGCGGCTGTGAGGAACCGCCTGGAGTCCGCCTACGGAGAACTCAAGAAGGTGCGGAAAGAGATGAAGAAGGAGGCCAAGGAGAAGGAACGAAACGCAGCCAAAGGTAGCTCCACCGCGGCGGCTTCCAAGCAGTCCGGCAAGAGCAAGGACGGCTTCCTGGTGGAGGAGATCGTGAAGGAGAAGGCGCCGCCTTGGAGCACTTTGTGGACGGAGGTGGAGACCCAAGCTTTGCTCTGGGAGGCTGAAGGTGCAGAGAGTCCTTGGCTGAAGCAGATCATCGAGAAGGCGGAGTGCTGTGCGGAGGAAGAAGGAAAGGCAGTTTTGGAGGCGAAATTGGTGACAGGCAAGCTCAGGGTGGAGTACCAGTGGCGAAGCCTCAATGAGGAATGGCGCAAGGCCTACGAGAAGCCCCTCATCAAGGCCGTGAAGGTGTACTTCGACCACGACGCCATCCAGGGGGTGAGCAAGGATGTAGTGACCACGGAAGATCTTGAGCTCCCGGTTCGTGCTGACCAACAAGGGAGGGGAGACCTTAGCAGAGGCAGAGCTGAAGGCGCGCTGGATTCTCGGCGGGCACCGGGACGTGGAGGCGGGTTAGTTCCCGACGTTGGCGCCTACAGCGAGCATCCTGGCTCACAACATCCTGAACACCGTGGCCGTGCAGATGGGGTGGGTCGTGCAGTATGAGGACGTGGCATCGGCGTTTCTTCAAGGACAGCGGCTTCCAGCAAGTCGTGAAGTTTATGTGCGGATGCCCACCGGATATCCCCAAGTGGTCACGGAGTACCTCATGGAGCAGCTTGGCAGCTCATGCCGCACGGACATCCTGAGGTTGATGAAGGGCGGATTCGGTTTGTGCGAATCACCGCGGCTGTGGTACCTGGAGTACAAGGCCACTTTGAAGGAGATCAATCTCAATGAGCTCAAGTTGATCCCTGGCATGTTCGTGGCCTTCCATCCAGATGGTCGACTCCGGGCGCTGGTGACGATCCACGTCGATGACACCAGGTATGCAGGTGATGAGACCTCGCAGGAGATCTGGGACGCCTTGCATCAACGACTAAAGTTTGGACAACGCCGCAAGGCGACGGATGGTTGTGGCAGAAGTTTTGTGGCCGGTACGAACGCCAGGATCCCAAGACCTTCGAGTTCTACTACACCATGGAGGACTACATCACGAAGATCCCGGACATCCAGAAAAAGGAGTGGGCTGCTGACAAGGGGCCGCTCACGGAGACGGAGCGGGTGAAGATTGGCTCTATCTTGGGCCAGATCAACTGGGCAGCTCGACAGGGGCGCTATGACCTCTCCTACGGAGTTTCTCACTGCCAGCAGCTGGCCGGAGCCGGACTCAGGGAGGCCATGGAGTGGACGGCCAAGCTCATTGCCAGAGCACGCAAGGAGGTCGAGGTGAAGGTGAGCAAGTTGGACTGCGACCTCAAGGAGGTGGTCATCATCTCCGCTAGCGATGCGGCCTATGCAGCCCAACCGAAGGGACATTCGCAAGGAGGAGTCATGTGCATGATGGCGAACCCGAAGGTCCTGGACGGCATCGCGCCGGTGGCCGTGTTGGAGGCGCAGAGCATGAAGATCCAGCGGGTGGTAAGGTGCTCTATGAGCGCCGAGCTCTCCATGGCGGCGGAAGCCTTCGAGCATGGGGACTTCGCGCGGGCGGTCCTGGCCGAGACCCTCTTCGCGGACTTTGACATCCGCCGATGGAAGTGGTATGCCAGTCGCCGGTCCCACTACCTCGTCATCGATGCCAAGACTGGCTATGACGTCATGAACTCGGCGGTCCTACGTGAGGCCTTGATCGAGGAGGGCACTGGAAACTATGTGAGATGGATTCCGGGCCGGGAGACGGTCAGCGATGGCCTCACGAAGTGGGGAGACAATGGAGTGCTCCTCCAGGTCCTCCGCGAGGGCCGCTGGTCGCTGGTGGACACCGAGGAGGCGCAGCGGCTGAGGCGGGAGGCGGCCGAGCGCAAAAGGCGCTACGCCCACGGCCGGACGAGCACGCCGACACCGACACCATAGGGGGTTTGTGTGAAGTCGAGCCCGTCGGTGTCGTGCGGCGCCGTCGAAGGGCAGACCATGAGCCACGGGGCTCGAGTGCACAAAAGGGTGCGGTGCCACGTTTTAGTCTAACTAAGGCTGTATAAAATATTCACAACGGTTGCCTTGCACTTACTTGGACCCCGCTCAACCGCATCTTGCACTGCTAGCTGTGTGGGCAAAATTCACAGTTGTAGTTAGCTTGAAGGTGAAGGCCTTTTTCCTGAGCCTGCCGATGGCCTTAGAACGCGATGACTTGGTTGTTGTCCACGCAGCCTGGGATGAGGAGCCCCTCAGCCTTGAACTGCAAGTTATTCACCTTGTCGTTGTATTCTTTTTTGAATTATCCAACTCACATTCTATACTATGTGCACGCATATGTAACATGTTTTTTTGTGTGTATATATATATATGGGTTCGGTGCGTTATTTCCCGGGCTCCACTGAGTTCATGTATATACAGTAACCGTATATCATTTTGTTGTGAAATACAGCTATTACTTGTATAGTTGCAGCTATTACTTGTCCTTTGCATTTGCTTCTAGCAGCTCACATCAAACTCTGTAAATCATCTTGACGCAACTGGGCATATGTCATCAAAGTTAGCGTTTGCATTTTACAACAACCATGCATGTGTTTATAAACATGTTTTTTAATAAACATGTTTTGTGTTGCACACACTTGTTTTTAACTAATAGTAATTGATTGTGTATATGTTAAGTTCCAAAAATATGATAGATACAGGGTTTATACACAAACTATATATACAGTACATTAGCTCTTGATATGCTACTGTGCTTGGGGCCCGGAAAACGCACAGCGCCCATACATATCCATATATAATATATGTTTCTTTTGTTCCTTTCAGTGATTCAGCTGGCGTATTCCACGGAAAGGTCAGCTGAGAATCTCCGAACCTTTGAAGGGAGCGCCAAGAACTCAGCATGCTTGGAGCAGAAAGGAGCTGGCTTTAGGTTGTGTGGCAGAAAGTGCTGAGGTCATCGATGCTTACGATATTTTTGATCAAAGAATTCAGGAGACCCCTGTTGCCTGAAGCGGGAAATACCAACTGTCAAGTGTTTCTTGCCAGGACGGAATACAGTTTGATGGTATCACTGACCAAGACGAGATCGATATGCGGGAACAGAATCGAAACCCTGTCAAAGTCCTCAGCTCCGGGTACGAAGGAAGTCGGCTGCAGGGAACAAATCAGCATTTGTGGGAAGTGGGAATAACCACATCAACTACACTAGCGATCTAGCTGAAATTTTGATTGAAGCGCTCTAGTTGACATGCTGAACAGGGAACTTCGTAAACATACACAGTAGAGATATTACCACTGCAAACTTGCGCCTGCAGGCCACAATTTTCAAGAAAAGGTAGGATGCACACATGCATAGGCGTTTGGGCAAGAGCTAGTAAGGCTTCCACAGATGCTTGTTGATACCTTAAGAGTTGGCCATGTCAGCAGTGTTTTCTTTGGTTGCTTATGTTTTTGAGCTTTGAACTGATTTGAGAACCCTACCATTTTGCAATTGTTGTCAATTCTCTAGATAGGTATTTCAATGGACACCATAGTTTTGCAACTTGATACATCCGTATACCGTTGAGTTTTCGTCTAAGACCTTTGTCAGACCGTCAAGGACGTGCGCCGGAGCCTTTCTTCGCGGGTGGAAAAATGAGAAATTTGGAACGCTTGAAGTGGTGGGAGAACTATGCCGCAAAGGACGGCAGGCCTTCAGCCCTTTGATTCTACTTGAAGGGTGTTCCAAAAGGATTCTAAAAAGGGAAGACGGAAAAAACGAGAAGAGAAGAGGACAAACTAGTAGCAATGGCCTCCAACCTAGTAGCGATGGCCTCCAACCGCAAGCTCAGAGAGTCACAGAGCAAAATAACCATGGATGAGCTGACACCGTAGATAGCCATGTCGCCCATTTAGGCGAAGTAATGGCAACCGGAATCCTCACCTCGAAGAGGATTGAAACTGGAAGCCAGCCTTTATGGGACAGTTTAGAACCCAGGGGAAAGGCAATTTATAACCTTACAAAACATAATTTCTGTTTGTTCTGAAAGTCCAAGACCTGTGGATCGACTCAAACTCCAGATGAATATGAAAAACAGGTCGACCCACCGAGAGAGATCTTTCACCTCTGAAGCCGAGCACATACTTATAAGTAAAAAACAAGATATTTGCTCCTTGAGCTGTCCTGCAACATGCCAGAGCATTTCTACCAGCAATCAAGTTTGAACGATAACACCACCCCAGCCCCCCCACAATTCACACCCATTGCGTGTTCAAGTCAATGAGGACAATCTTCAGTGTAGCATCAAGTGCGGGATCAAGTTCTAATGAACCTTATCATCATCACCCCACCCCATCCACCACAACGCAGACTTTTACCCACAGCATCATTCACGCCATGGTCCAACTACCAGATATCATCACCGATCACTTCACCAAAGACTTTCCAACAGGACACATGATGCAAGTATTGCCATTAAGCGCAGCTTGCATCGTTTGCTGCGTGTTCCAAACCATGCGCAGACTAGATTGACTAGATTCAACTGTAATGACTGACATCATGTTGACGGGCGGAGATATTGTGTGGTATCATGGCTCAATAGCAGTGACAATAGCAGTGGGACGACAATACAGTCTAAACATGTACAGCACACTTCAGCATGTCACGCCAATCTTTGGCTCAAGACTCCCGTGATGTAAGCGAGAAAGAAGCACGCCCCCGCTGCCTATGAGGGAGAGAGGATAGTCTACTTGTACTTCCCGTCAAGCAGATTAATATCCACACGCAGGTTATCAGCCGTAGCCGCTCTAAGGTTGCGAGCTCTGAGAGACCAACGCTGTAATAAAGACTCAACTTACTATGTCGAGCTCTGGAGGAAAGAGTAGTGGACAATTCTCTTTCGCAGCTCCAGGAGGAAATGCATCGCAGTCATCACCTGGCTCAATCAATGATGCTAGCTCTGTTGAGACTGCTACAGTGGTTGCCATGCCATCCACATCACAAGCTTCAGGCATGGAAGGGCCGCTCCACTGGAGACGACCTCTGCTGGATCTGATGCTAGAATGGGCAACGCAAAGAGGATTGCGAAGAGATTTACAGGATCTACATCGCCGAGAACTACATCGAGAAGATCGCCCAAGAGAGATATTGAGAAGGCAGAATTTGAAGTTGCCAAGGAACATGAGGAACGAGAAGTTCGACTCATTGAAGAATTGCGATCAGCGAGAGTTTCCTATCAATATTTGAATGACGAATATAGTTGCTTACATGATGGGTATACCAAACTCTACGCTGAATCAAGAGAAGAGTCTTCGCAGATGACAAAGTGCAATATGGCAATGAACACTCACCTACAAGAGATGATGCAAGAGGATGAAGGAGCTACTATAAGTATCGAAGAACTGGAGAAGAAGCTCAGACTTGCCGAATCGTTGGCAGATCACATCTACACAAAGTACGAACAGGTCGCTCATGAGAATCATGAGGAACACTCTCAATTTGACGAGGTGACGTCCAAGATGGAGGACATGACCAGCGAAATGCAGGGTGCGTTCCAGTACATCCAAGAACAAAAACCAAATCTCAGACACCTACAACAGAAGAGCTCAACATCTCACTGAAGAAAACAAGGTGATGATGAACGCCGATGAGCTACAGACAAAGATGTTGATGCTGCAGGATGAGAACAGCGACATGTTGCAGGTAGCTCAGAGAGAGAGAGGGAAGAGCAATGGAGCACTGAGATGCACCACATGGTATTGACCAACGAAGCAGCTGGAAGCAATGACCATCATTACCAAGAGAAAAGGATGGTAGAACACCTTCGTGTCAACTGGCGCTCGTCAAAGGCTCTGAGATGAATATGGTCGCTGAAATGGGCAACCATGACCTTGAACAAAAGACCGAGAGTCAGACATACAAACTGGAAGTCAGTGAAAGAGAAATGCGAGCGCAACAATTTCAGTACGAAGCAAGGATGATGGCAGAAACAAGACAATGGAAGAGGCTGCCAGCCAGATAAAGATGCAATCCAAGGAAGAGCAACGTCAACTGAGAGAAGCCCTCACTGAAGCAAACAAAGTACTGAGAAGGGAGAATCTACTCGGAACGTCCGCAGTTGATGATAGAGAGAGGATAGTTCTCGAGGAGAAATTCAAAGAGATTGAGGAGAATCACAAGATCGCCGAGAAGAAACTATTGGAAGCAAGATCAGAGAATGCCAAGTTGAAGGCAGACATGCATCATGGATTCGCCAAAGATGAGAAACGAGAGGGGCGAGGGTTACATAATAGTTGGCTCAGTGAAGAGGATCAGTCGCGACTAAAGGAGGACCTGAGGTATGAAGAGAATGAAGTAGACAGGTTGAGAGGGCGCGTGACGAGACCTATGAATGGTACTAGGATGCATTCAAATACTATGAAGAGGGGGTCGAAGAAAAGGAAGCTGTTGAAGAAGAGAACGTAGAACTCAGGAACAGATTGTCCGAAACTGTGTCAGCGTCGTCCTCTTCTCCAACATATGCAACCAAGGTTTCCTGGAAGGAAGAACCCAAGGTGAATGTGCCGCCATGGCCAAAGGTCAATGACCTAGGAGTATGGAAAGCCAACTTGATACAAGCACTAAGATCAACAACCATGGATTGATTGGCCCAAGGAAGCTATTGATGATCCTGATCCTGACAAGCTGATGGACTCTGGTGACCCAAGATTCCATTCAATCGACGCAAAAGTGGGACTTGCATTGACTCACTTGCCAACCTATCAGTAGGGATATTCGCAGATGCCGACTTTGCAGGCTGTGGCGACGCGTTGAGATCCACCTCCGGATCCCACATGCATGTACAAGGACCGCGTACTCGTTTCCCTATTGCAGGTGGCAGCAAACGTCAAGGTTGCGTGAGCCACTCCACTCCGCTTCGAGATTGTCGCAGCGGATATGACACTCCGCAACTATGGGATCCCTTCCATCGGCCTTTGGCAAACACTTACTGGTAAAGCTCCGGAGATCCTCTTGCGTGATGATAATCAGGGTATGATCGGTGTTGCCAGGACTGGACGGAATCCTACCATGAGACACCTGCGCGGCATTTCCATCGTGTCTTTGCATGAACATTTCCAAAGTGACCACTTCGTTCTCCTCTATGAGATCTCTCACAAGATGCGTGCGGATATCAATACAAAGGCTTTCCGGACGCCTCTCGCGTGGCGCCGAGCTTGTATGTTGATCAACCTTCTTGATCCTTCGGAATTGGGTTCTCAAGAGCTTGCCGATATGGTCTCCCCATCTGTCGATCACAAGAAAATCAATCACCAAATTAAATGTTTCAGACGAAGACTGGTGACATACCCAATTTCCCATATACACAAACCCCGGTCTTACCGCGAGCTGTGTTTCACAAAGGGATGACCGGCAAGGAAGCCCTAGGTGTACAAGACCTTCCAAATTGGTGATTGTTTGTATGTCGTTAAAGTCCCAGTCTATTATCGTCGATATCCACCAGGACGATTTATTCCGAATGACGCATGCCGGAGCAAATGGGTACTTGTCAATGGTTTATGGAATCGAGTCGAGACGCCCTTACAACAGGCCCAACGCTTCGACCAATGGTTCGAACGAGCATGTTTCCCATACCACGTCTCTCCACCTTGGAAGCTGGTGCCTGCTCATCCTCCTTGCCTCTTCCTGCCTTGGCCAATGTCTCATGGACTCCCGATGCTGTCCTTCAACTCTCACTCACTTGAGTCCATCTCTCGTGACCCTGCGCTCGCATCCAAACGATTGCAACCGCTCAATAATTGCCAACCTGCCGCCCTTCGTGTGATCAACACGCTACTACGTCTTGTTCGTGGGGGGAGTGGGGGCAGGACGGTGCATTAATTCGCGCTTGCGGTGCGGTCGCCGACCATTTTGACGCTCAGGATTCAAGATCAAAAACCATAAAAAACACACAAAAAGTATCAAGAGGAATGGCGTTTGAATGGACACGTACTGACACGAGTGCACAACGTCCCAAGAACAAGCAAATTTGTTCCCTCAGAATGCGACGATTGTCCGGTTGACATTGCTTTGTTGGCGGATGATCGAACCACCGAGCTGTTTTACAGAAACGGCAAAACCAAAGAGCATGACGCGTGGCGTTTTCGAGGTAACTCTGTCGGAGTGGATTGGAACAACTGTGTTTTGTGTCCTTACTGAAGACACGAAAGGGACAGCCAACAAATCTGCCGCTGGCGCTCAACTGAACAAAGGCATTACTATATGCGCGCAAGCATGGGGCTTGAGTGTTATCCCACAGAGCAACATGTTCGTGCCTCAGTCAGTCCAATACATGACGAACGAATCCCCGGTTGGACGCAGACCAGTGTTGTACTTGAGAATGCAAAGGCAATCAGGTAGTTCGCATAGATACCAATTCGAGTTGCGCCTGCAGGAGATCAAGGGAATGGTGGGGATTGGTAAGACGTATGACCACTGCTTGATTCTGCATGAAATGGAGAGGAATGTGCCGAGTCTTGTACTTTTGTTCACGTTCTTGCAAACCGCAATGAAGAACTTGTACATGAACATTGTTACCATCACGGAGGATGACGACGCAACCTCACTCGCATGGAAGAAACAAGGTAAAGGCACGCCTTAGATCGGAGCTCGACTGTGTATTCTTTGCTGGACCGTGCGCTGGACGGTCAGCCTGGAACCGCTTGAACAGTACGA